GGCTTTCTTAGGGGCCGTATATGTGGCGGTGCGATGCTGTTTCCTGTCATATTTGTCGTGACCTTCCCTGTGGCAGAAAGATGAAAAATATGACACGGATTAATATTGCAAGATCAGTATGTTCAATATGCAGCAAGATCTCGAGGACAAAACCCAACTCGAAATATCAAATCTGGACAATAATTATGACTGGTGCGTCATAAAGAAAAATAAAACCTTTTTCTCGTCATAAAAATAATTGTGATATTTATTGATAAAAACACAAGTCATAATTACACCTTTTTAGGTCATCATTCTGACTTGTTGGATCATATTTATGCCTTATATTCATAATTATCCATTTTTATCTCATAATTATAATTTTGGATGTCTGAATTTTAACTTGACTGGTATATCATAAAGGGAAAAAAAATCATGCTTTGGTAAATCAGAATTATCAAAATGATAAGATGAGACTTTTTGACTTAGATTTTGATTCAAGGTCACAATTTATTTCATAATTATGCCTTTTTAGGTCATCATTTTGACTTTATTTCATATTTATGACTTGTTGGATCATATTTATGTTTTTATTTCATAATTATGCCTTTTTAATCTCATAATTATAACTTTAGGTGTCTGAATTTTAACTTTTTATCCCAATAATTATGACTGGTATATCATAAAGGGAAATAACTCATAATTATGTAATAAAAAGTCAAAAGGATAAGATGAGATTTTGATTCAATGTCACAATTCATTTCAAAATTTTATTTCATAATTATGCTTTAGGTCATCATTTTGACTATTTCATATTTATGACTTGTTGGATCATATTTATGTTTGTTTTTATTTCATAATTATGCCTTTTTTATCTCATAATTATAACTTTAGGTGTCTGAATTTTAACTTTTTATCCCAATAATTATGACTGGTATATCATAAGAGGAAATAAATCAATTACTGGTATGTAATAAAAAGTCAAAATGATAAGATGAGACTTTTTGACTTAGATTTTGATTCAATGTCACAATTCATTTCAAAATTTTATTCATAATTATGCCTTCTTAGGTCATCATTTTGACTTTATTTCATATTTATGACTTGTTGGATCATATTTATGTTTTTATTTCACAATTATGCCTTATTATCTCATAATTAATTATAACTTTAGGTATCTGAATTTTAACTTTTTATCCCAATAATTATGACTGGTATATCATAAGAGGAAATAAATCATAATTACCGGTATGTAAGATGAGACTTTTTGACTCAATTTTGATTCAATGTTACAATTCATTAAAAAAATTATTTCATAATTATATATATATATTTTTTTATCTCATAATTATGACTTTGTATGTTCAAATTTTGACTTTCTATCCAATAATCATGACTTGTATGTCATAGTTCATAAAAGAAAAAAAATCTTTGGTAAATCATAATTGTCAAAAATAATTGTCATAAAAAGTCCAAAATGATAGGATTCTAATTATGACTTATTAATTATGACTTTTTGACTTACACTAACTTCTAATTATGGTTGTATCTCATAATTACACCTTTTCAACTTTTGACTTGATTTCATAATTATGGTTTTTAATCTCATAATTATGACTTGGTATGTCATAACTTTTACTTTTTTTCAGGTCATAATGTTGACTTTTTATCCCATAATTAGGTCAATTTATCTTGTTTTTATGACTTATTCCATCATTTCGACTTTTTATGTCATAAGTATGACTTTTATCTCACAATCTCGACTTTAAATGATAATTATGACTGAGCATTTCATAATTTAGATTATTATAATTCACCACAGCATGCACATGTGGCAGTAAAGTGTGTGTAGTAGTGTATCAGACATCGGCTGTGTGTTAGTAAACGTGCCTGAAGCAGCGAGCGCAGAACAGATCTCGATCACACGTGTGGCAGCGGATACTGGCGTCGCGGTTACAGATGCAGCACCACGGCAGCTCTTCCTCATCATCCTCATCACTGTCTTCATCATTACAGCGCTGGATCCGAGAGGCAGACGCTGGCAGACGCTGGCCTGAGACCTGCAACACACACACATCAGAACTACACAAAACTTGGTGACATGGGCATTTGCTATGTGACTAAAAAAAACAAATGGTCAAATTCATAAAGTCAAAATGATAAGATTCAAAGTCATTTGAATTCTAGATTCTCATAATTATGAATTTTTATGGCATCCTTTCGATTCATAATTTTGACTTTCTATCCCATAACTATGACTAGTATGTCATAAATCATAAAAGTTCATGCTTTGGTAAATTATAATCATAAATTATAAAAAGTTGACCTTTTGTAAATAGATCAAATCCCTCAAAATACAGTGCCTCTATTATGCTTTCCGGATATGACCTTTCATGTAGTGTGTAATAGGGCTGTTAGTGAATGTAAAGGTCAAAGGTCAAAGATAAATGGGGTTTTTGTCTCCTGAAAGAAAGAAGGTATTCTGAACTGAAACGAGTCGTCAGTTATTCAGTCTCACTTCCTGCTGAACCTGCGTAGGTTAGGAACTAATTTGCATAATCCCACCCGATTGGCTGCCAGCGAACAGTGTGTGACATGTGTGTTGTGTGTGTGTTGTACCGGTCTCCTGCTGGACGGGTCCTTCTCTCGGTTCATTGGGCCGCTGAGCTCTGGTGGGATGTTGTATCCGCTGGCCTCGTCTAGAGCCGCCTCTTCTGATAGCTGAACATGCGACACACACACACACTCTTCAGATCGAGCTCGAGGGTTGAGCGGCCTCCGCTGGTTATTCTGGGACGAGCCACTGAATCGGCTAATCTACACAGAGCTATTTTAGTTTTAATAATTATTTTGAATTGGTGTTAAATTTGATATTTTTTATTTTCATGTTAAATTTAGATTAATTTTTAATCATCTCGTTGAGCTTTTGTCATTTTATTATTACCGTAATTATTTTAAAATATTGCTATTTAGGTTTCATTTATTTTTATTTCAGTTATTTGGGGTTTTCTTGTTAAATTAACTTTTTTGTAATTTTGTTGCACTTTTTGTTATTTTATTATTATTCAAATACTGCTGTTTATGTTTAATTTATTTTTATTTCAGTTTTAGTGTAATGAAAAATTTAGCTTAATCTTTAGATATTTTGTTATGTGCTTTTTCATGTTATCATAATTATTATAATTTTTTTAAATATTACTATTTAGTTTAATTAGTTTTTTTTACTTTGGTATTAGTTATTTTTAGTTTCATGATAAATGTGCGTATATGTTTTGTTATTTGTATAGTAGTTTAATTTCGTTATGTGGTCTTGTAAGTTTATTATTATTTAAATATTGATATTTAGATTTAATGAATTTTTATTTCAGTTTTAGTTCTTTTTAGCTATTATCAACATTTCTAATTTTCATTTAGTTTAAGTTTTTCAACTAATCAGCTTTATTTCAATTAACAGAAATGCTTTTAATAGTTTTAGTTTGTTACACTTTAGTTGCACTACAAGTCAAAAGTTTAGACACATCAAATGATTCTGTATAATTGATAAAATTCTAAATATTATAATTATAGTTTACATCGTTCAGCTAATCGGGTGGCATTATGCAAATTAGCTACAAACCTACACAGGTTCAGCAGGAAGAGAGATTACTGTACTTACTTACTTAAATTACTATATATATATATATATATATATATATATATATATATATAAAGTCAAAGATGAATGGAGTTTTTGTCTCCTGAAAGAAAGAAGCGATTCTGAACTGAAAATAGTCGTCAGTAATCTCTCTTCCTGCTGAACCTGTGTAGGTTTGTAGCTAATTTGCATAATGCCACCCGATTGGCTGAACGGTGTCATGTTAATTTTTCATGTTAACATGTGTCATGTTAATAATGAGTTAATTTTTCATGAGAAAAAAAGTTTTTGCTCTGTTTTTCTGAATTAATGAGTTAATTTTTCATGAGAAAATTTATTTTTGCTGTTTTTCTGAATTATAATTTATAAAATTCTAAATATTATAATTATAGAGGGAAAAAAGTATATATATATATATATATATATATATATATATATTAAAGCTACTATCATAAAAATACAAATTTGCCAACATGGACATACAAAAACTACCCTTTTATTAAGATGTAAACTCTCTTATTTTTAAGCTTCTACTGTGAACGTGTTTGAAACAGAAAAGGTTTGCAGAACTTTAATAAAGAGGACAGACCTTCTTCATCACTCTGGTGATGGCCTCTTCTTCGGTCTCTTCATCACTGTCAGGCTGCTGGAAATCGGACAGTCTGACTGAACACACACACACATTGTTGTATTATGCATCTATTGAAAGCATCATTCACAATGCATTCAGCTAAGAGAATATTCAGTGGAACAAAAAGGTTTGATATCTGCGTATTAAGATTTGATTGGATTGTGAAAAGTGTTTTTTTTCACTGCATCAGAAAAGGAGAGTCAAAGGCAGAGACACTAACACTAATTAATGCACCAAAGCATTGATTTAAATTGGCATGAAGATTAAACTGAATATTAATTTTCATAATGCATTGTTCTTATTGTGAATGATTATTACATGCATTTTTGTTTTGATGTTGTTGCTTCAGGCGTGAAGCACCTTGTTCCGGATCGTGTCCCTGCAGAACGGCGAGTCTCATGGCCATCTCTCGCATCTGCTCCTCGTTGTGCTTGTCTTTCTTCAGCTCCTGCATGGCCTCCTCCATCACGCGGCTTTGCTCCGCCTCCATCTGATTGACTGACAGCTCGCCATCATCCACGTTCTCATTCACCCCCCCTCCCTCTTGTTTATTAAGATCGTTTAATGGTTCGTCTGTATTTACACAAGTGAGAAAAAGAAAATTATCGTAAGCATGAGAAAAATCACTGTAACGTGGCTTTGAGATGCCCATTGCTTTATAAACTCTTTAATGTTTAATCAAAATGAGGGCTTAGTCTTTTATTTAGAATTAGTAACGTAAAACTACGGAGGCGTATTGCATTCACTTGAAGAAAAAAAAATGTACTCTGTTTTTCTGAATTAACGAGTTAATTTTTCATGAGAAAAAAATTTTTGCTTTGTTTTTCTGAATTAATGAGTTTTTTTTTATGAGAAAAAAAGTTTTGCTCTGTTTTTCTGAATTGACGAGTTAATGTTTCATGGAAATTTTTTTTTTTTGCTCGGTTTTTCTGAATTAACGAGTTAATTTTTCATGAAAAAAAAAATTTGCTCTGTTTTTCTGAATTAACGAGTTAATTTTTCATGTAATTTTTTTTTTGCTCTGTTTTTCTGAATTAATGAGTTAATTTAGAAAAACAGCAAAAATAAATTTTCTCATGAAAAATTAACTCATTAATTCAGAAAAATAGAGTACATTTTTTTTCTTCAAGTGAATGCAATACGCCTCCGTATAAAACCAATTTCAATGTGAATAAAATATATATCGTAAAACTACCCTCTGACGATGGATACTGGTCATCAATAGCAACTTCCTCCGTCATTTGGGCGATCAAATCATTAGTCTGTTCTGTCTGAGACCTCCTGTCGGGCGGCTGATGAACCTGCACACATTAAACATCCATATAAACGCACGTTCTGCTATTTTAAAGTCTCCTAAAACAGGTTCACATGCATCCAAGGTCAATCAAAAACACTTTAATTTTGTCCTAATATCCCCTGCAGCGTCTGAAACGCTTCGTCTCTCTAAGCTCCGCCTCTCTGAGAGCTGCTCTGCTCTGATTGGTCAGATCGCTCATTATCATATCAGAATCTCAGCTCTTGACACACAGTGATCTAAACAGTAACGATGGCGAGGGTTTTACCGTATAAATCTCAGTGGATCAGCAGAAAACAGCGTCTTCTCGACACGAACAACACGAACCAAACTCTCCCAGTCTCAGATACACTAGTGTTTGTGGGCGGGGCTAAGAGACACCGTTCAGCTAATCGGGTGGCATTATGCAAATTAGCTACAAACCTACACAGGTTCAGCAGGAAGAGAGATTACTGTACTTACTTACTTAGATTACTATATATATATATATAAGGGCAAAGATGAATGGAGTTTTTGTCTCCTGAAAGAAAGAAGCGATTCTGAACTGAAAATAGTCGTCAGTAATCTCTCTTCCTGCTGAACCTGTGTAGGTTTGTAGCTAATTTGCATAATGCCACCCGATTGGCTGAACGGTGTCATGTTAATTTTTCATGTTAACATGTGTCATGTTAATAATGAGTTAATTTTTCATGAGAAAAAAAGTTTTTGCTCTGTTTTTCTGAATTAATGAGTTAATTTTTCATGAGAAAATTTATTTTTGCTGTTTTTCTGAATTAATGAGTTAATTCGGAAAAACAGAGCAAAAAAAAAAATTACATGAAAAATTAACTCCTTAATTCAGAAAAACAGCAAAAAAAATGTTCTCATGAAAAATTAACTCATATATATATATATATATAGATAAAGATATATTAGAAAAAGCATAGACCGGCGCTTGACGTGAAAGCAGATATTGTAGTTACAGGCTGGGGGGCTTGCGAGGGCGCAGGTCTTCCTTGTAAAGCAGCCAGACGCTCCTCCATGTCTTTATCTGAAGGCACGGGCTGAACCGGAGCTTTTAGGGCAGCGAGACGAGCCTCCAGCTCCTGCTCTGATGGGATGGACTCTGTGTGAGAACAGAGAAATATCAGGTCAGACACACAGAATCAAAGTCTGCCAACTCCAGCTAAACTGTTTGATTTGGATATAAAATAAATGAAGGACAAAACCAAAATATTAAATGTCACGAAACGAGTAATCCACTGTTAAAATGACAATTTTCACGAGATTTGGAGCCAAATTACAGGGGGGTAATAATGACTTTATAAAGATGGCGGTGTCGTTATTTTATTTCTACACAGAGATTGGCTGGTCTATTAATGAAATCTGTTGACTTTATAAATCTTTGTTTCATTATATGCCAACGGTGACAGTTCAAAAATGGGGAAAGGCACTTCTTGTGTTTTTAACCTCAAGTTTGCATGCCTGTAACTCTAAAAGTATTAAATATATCTTAATATCCTTTTAGATTCTGGTTCTTATCAAACTTTTCTTTTTCTATCTTTATTTTACAGGCCCTCAATGGTTCAATCACAGAGATATGGAGATCTCAACGTGGCTTCATGAGTAAATTGGTCGAAAACCAAATGTGGGACACTTATATACAGATGATGCTTTTATCTTTTAAAGAGTAATATCTGAACAGCAAATTACACTGAAACTAGAAATCAACACAATTGAATTGAATAAACCTGTCTGATTGCCATAGTAATTATTTTCCAAAATAATATTGTGTGTGTATCGTTTATATCATATATGTATCTGTTATCAACTTTCAAATATAAAGAATTATCGGTTATCACTATCAGACAAAAAATTCATATCAGTATGTATATGGCTTTCAAATATAAAGGATTATCACTTATCACATCGGCGCATTCACAATGTTAATGTTTAAAGTGTGTTTATGCCTTCTAGCTGCAATTAGCAGTTTAGAACTGTGTGATAAAAAACGTTGGTTGTGACAAAACAATCAAGCAGATTTTGACAGATCTTACTGGGCTTGGTTTCCTCTTTCAGCTTGTTCAGTCGTTCTGCGATGACCTGGTCCTCTTTACTGAGTCCTCGGGTTGAAACCCGACTCACAGCGTTGTTCTTTCCCCCTCCGGGTCGGGACGGCTCATTCTGCTGAGCTTGTTTGGCTTCGAGAGCAGCAACTCGCCTGTAAGACGCCACAGATTTGTGTTATTCCTGTGGCATACAGGGGCATTTCACATCTAATACTTAGTTATAGATTCATACTTCTTGTAGTTTTCAGGTGGGGACCATTTGCCAGCATCATTCTGGTTGCCTGGACTGTACAAAAAAGACCTGTCAGTCGTGTGTTAGTGAAAATACTATAACAGTGTAAACTGTGTTTGGCTTCCAGACCTTGTTAAGTTTCCATAACACTGTTTGCAGACTTTCTGCTGGCTGTTTCCATATTTTGGCACAACAACATTGAAGGTCAGACACCCAGAGCAGAAAGAATGGCCACAGTTTTTACAACCCAACTGCAAAAACACAAAACCAAGTCAAACACTTTTTGAATTAAGCTATTGAAATTAAATGATCGGTATTTATAGGCGCTAACCTCTTTTCTGAAGAGAGTGAACTTTGATGCACAGCAGTAACAACGATTATCCATAGCGATATTCTTCGGGGAATCGCAGGAACATGCTGTAGCGACACTTTAAATGCTCAAGGTTATAATAATTAAATTCATTGTATTGTTTAACGTGATTTCAGCTGCATTGTGTTTCTCTTGAATCTGACAGAGAACGTAAATACAGGAAGCGCTGCGAGAACCGAGAAGTGCTGGGAAATGTAGTTTTTATCACTTGCAGCGATGAGACTTGTAGTGATTTGGGGGAAAAACATCCAGAATAATGTAGAGGTTTGTTGTTGTTGTTTTTTATTTTATTAAATCTAAAAAAAAATATGAATAAAACAATCAAAACTCTCAATTTGAAACGTACTCATTTCCCAGCATGCAACACGACAGCCACGCTGTAGCTTGCTCTCATACTGTTACAAGATTTATACTGCGCCAAAATGTGGGTGGAAAAAAACACTATTAAGATAGACGCACTAAGAAAACACAAATACATATATTTATTTAAAAAATAAAAACAGTCGATTATTATGTCGACGAACCTCACGTGGTCATGTGACCAGTTCGTCCAATCATGATCTCTTTGGCGCGCTTCCGGTTTTTGTTCAAAATGCGTTTTGCCCTTCTACTCGAACGGACAACACAATAACGAGCGATTTATGAAATTAACATCATATTTGTATATTTCTACTATACAACGAAGGTCGTTTTGACGAAGAAAAGAATATTAAGGAGATTTCAGCTGGGTAAAGGTAAGTTATATTTGTTTTCTCTTATTACTTAATTTTGCAGACAGTAGAAACACAGAGAACAGTAGAAACTGTAACGTTAGAGAAACACAGTATGTGTTTTTTTTTACCCCGCTGTTTGTTAATTTTAACTTTTTAATTTTATTTTTTTTACACAATTTACTGCTTTATTTCTTTATGAGCTTTAATATGCGGGGGATACATTGATTTTTAGAACATGGTATTTACGTTTTACAGTAAAGTTACCTTTTGAAGGGATATAGTAGTCCACCATTATTTTGCTCAGCCTCATGTTGTTCCAAACCTGTATGAGTTTCTTTTTTCTGTTGAACACAAACGAAGACATTTGAAATAATGTCATAAATATGAAATAATGTAATCAGTCAGACCCCATTGACTTCCATGCTATTTTTCCCTATTATGGAAGTCAATGGGGTCCATCAACTGCCTGGTTGGTTACCCGCATTCTTTAAAATACATTATTTTGTGTTCAACAGAAGAAAGAAACTCATACAGGTTTAGAATAACACGAGGGTGAGTAATTAATGGCAGAACATTTTTTTTATATATATATATTTTCGGATGAACCAACATTTTAAATGCATTAGTATATGAATATGGTTACCACTCGGTATCATAAGTGCCATCTGTTTTTCCACTTCTAGATGGCAGAGTGTGATGCGGAATGGGAATTATGTAAAGAAAATATCCAGCCTTTGAGACAAGGCCGTACCATCTCGGCCCTCCAGCAGGCCCTGTGTCAGCAGCAGGAGGGGAACCACACGGCCCTCAACCAGAAGAAACAGTGAGTGGGGTTTTCAATCAAACTAAAAACATGTTCCACAACAATTCAGTAATGTCACCTTTCTGTTGTAGAGCGTTTGAGTCTGAGCTGCGGATGTATGATGGAGACGACCCTCTCGATGTTTGGGTCAGGTATGGATTATTATGACAGCAGATGCATGTTGACTTTTGATATGCAAATCACAGTTAATAATTTTTTTGCTTAAAGTGCTTCAATTTGACTTTTTAAAAATGTAAGTCCTGGAAAACCCATGAAAACAGCCATATTTATGAAAAGTGCTTGAATTATTGAAAGGCTTTTCGCGCTTTATCAACGCTGCGATGCATTTTGCATGGCTATGAGCATAATATTGCTCATATAAATATCCAAATATATGTAACTAATCAGTTTGATTAAGGAAATCATTGTCATAGTATCCTTTCAATGGTTCCCACAGTCATTGCATGTGCTGCACTTTATTTGTACCATTTTGTTTTTATTAGTTAACTTTATCCATTTACCTTTTTGAGAATTTGAAAGATAATGAAGATATTGTTTGATAAGTGAGATCTCAGATTGCAATTCTTGAAAACCAAAAAAAGCATTGCTTAATCAGTCCTGAAATGAACCCCATTTCTTCTTTTTTCTGCAGGTACATAAAATGGACAAAGCAGACGTACCCACAGGGTGGAAAGGAGAGTAATTTATCATTGCTTCTTGAAAGAGCGGTCATGCTCTTCACAGCTGACAAGAAATATCTCAATGACGTTCGCTACGTTGAACTCTGGATCGAATTTGTGAGTGTCAGACCTCACATTTAGCATTCAGAGTGCATCAGTATAGTGTTTTTTAACTCGTTTGTTTCCATTTGCTTGCAGACAGAGAGCTGTTCTGACCCGATGGACGTCTTCCGCTACATGCAAGCTCAAGGAATCGGAACCATGCAAGCCGCTCTTTACATCGCCTGGTCCGAGGAGCACGAGAAGAGAGGGAATTTAAAGATGGCTGACAGAGTTTTTCAGGATGGTCTCAAGTGTGGAGCAGAACCTGTAGATAAACTACATGCGTTTCACAGGTCTGGACACTTCCAGTCTATTCATCTCTGTCTGTCAGAAATTATTCATATAAATCCCAATGTATTGTATTTGATGCATTAAGTTCTAAGGTCCGATGTTTGATTGATAGTTTGCACTTTTTTTAGCAAGTAAAAGGCTTTTAGTGTAATTTTAACCCCTTAAGTGTCACCCCCCCTTTTTTGAATATAGATGAAAATGCACATTTTGAACTTAAATGGTTGTAATTCAAGAATGCTTTGGAAAATAGTAGACGTAAAAATGGTCTCGTTTTAAAGAAGACATTTGGCAGATTTTTGTACAAGTGAAATAAATTAAGAATGTGAAACAGAAGAAAAGTTATAGAAGTTTGAGTTTATGAAAATGTACAATATAAAAAAATTAATTATTCATATTTTATATAAAATATATATTTTCAAAACCTGGCAACTCTAAAACTGCTAAAAAATCAAAGCCAACAATCTGAATAAGTTGTGTTTCAAATTTTAGGTTGATATCTTAAAAAATGAGCTTTCAGTGAGAGTTTGTTTGGGCGCAGTACCAAACTTTTTCACTAGGGGCACAACCAGACTCCATTACTGCCCATATAAGGGCGCCTCCATTTCCATATGAAATAATAATTATTATAATTATAAAATAATTGAATGGAGGCTTTCTTTTGAACTCTTGGCATGAAAACAAACAGGTTTCTACCCTTCTTTCATGATTTTTCATGTTCATCACAATTTCAAAATAAAGGTTAGAGTATGAAAGAGTATGAAAAATATTATTGTTGCAAATTGATAAATTACGGCTCCTCTGTAATATATTTTGAAAATCATCAAATATGAAAACTAGAGATTCTAAACTTTCAAATGATATATAGTTTGTCAAGATTAGTTTAGGTTTAGTATAGGATAATACTGTTTTAAAAATGTAATGGATTTGGGCCCACCCGTGGGCCCGTGACACTTTAAACAACATGAGGGAGTAATTACTGACAGTTTTCATTTTGGGGGGAACTATCCCTTTAAGTCATTCTTAAAAAAGGAAGATGTGTTTGTAGTTTTGCCGACCAGATATGGCAAAAGTTTAATCCATCAGCTAGCTCCGCTCTGATTGGTTGTAAAACTAACTTTAGCTCACGCCTCAATGAAATGTGTTGGTCTCCAGAGCTTTGCAGGCACGAGTGTGCAGACAGATGATGTCATCCATGACCAATCAACAAAGAGATGATGATGACGACGACGACGATGAAGAGCCTCAGCGATCATCACTGGCTGAGCTCAAAGCCAAAGGGAAGAAAAAGGCCGTCGTTCCCATCAACAGAGTGAACGCATCTCTCGGATGTGAGTATACACACTCTTTTACACGTGTTGTGTAAACGGGATCCAGTGCAATCACACTCTTTGCTCTGACACAGACGCACGTGGGCTCCAGCTTAAACAGCCGTTGGGCCCCAGACACAACAGTCGCCCTGTGATATTCGATGAGAATAAAGCTCCTGAAACTGTGCCGCAAGAACCCAAGTTTGAGATCTGGACGGCGCCACCTACTGCCAGAGCCAAAGAGAATGAGCAGAAACCTGAGAAGTGGTCCAATGTGAAGGTGCGAGTCCTTTAACCGGTTACCTGACTGGTCCTAGAGAGTGTCGGTTTTGTGTCTGAGAGATCAGTGTTTGTTTTTTATTCCAGTTGCCCCTGAAGTCCAGATCGGGACTCAGTGTCGTGGTTCCGGCTCCTAAACCCAGTTTCCAGCCGTTTGTGGAAGAGGACGACCAGCCTCCCGCTGTGTGAGTGTGATTGGAGGATTTGATGATTAAAGGAGTAGTTCACATTAAAAAAAAACTTTTGCTGATAATTTACTCACCCCCATGTCATCCAAGATGTCCATGTCTTTCTTTCTTCAGTCGAAAAGAAATTAAGGTTTTTGATGAAAACATTCCAGCATTTTCTCCATTTAATGGACTTCAATGGGGTCCAAAAGGGCTTTAAACGATTCCAGACGATGAATAAGGGTCTTATCTAGCGAAATGATCGGTCATTTCACAAATAAATAAATAAAAATTATTCGTGACTCACCTGTTCAAACTCGTTCATCAAAATGAACAAATCTTTTTTCGAGTCATTTTGTTTGTTGACTGAACGAGTTCGAAAAGGAGAGTCATGAACGCTCATCACAGAACAGAGCAAGGCGAACATTTGAGCTTATAAAACTTAAACTGTTTTATTTATTTTTTAAATGAGCGATTGTTTCGCTTGATAAGACCTTTAATCATCGTCTGGAATCGTTTAAAGCCCTTTGAACAGTTTGCACTCAAACTCTCATTTGGACCTTGAACCGTTTGGACCCCATTGAAGTCCATTATATGGAGAAAATCCTGGAATGCTTTCATCAAAAACAAAAGTTTTTTTTTTAAAGTGAACTACTCCTTAAACTCTCTGTCCATGGCAGATTTCCCTCAAGCCTTTCTGCTCCTTTATAATAACATTAGTTATTTTAGGCTGTAAATGCAGGGGTTTGACAGTGTAAAAAATCTATTAAAAAAGTCTAATATAAACAAACAAAATAAGATTAAAATACACATTTGATTACAATAAATGCATCTTACAGTAGCATGAGTAGGGAAAAAACCACAACGTAATCTAGTTGAAACTATATATTTTAGACATTTATAATCTTAAATTATAAGATAAATAGATGCTTTACACATTTTAGGATGAGGATGATCATTTTGGGTCCATTGTATCATTTTATGCACTATTTAGTTTGCATCACTAATATACTTGTTTTTATTTTTGCATTTAAACGTTAAACTTTAGTATTTTTGCTGTGTTTTATTAATTTTTACTTGCAACTAGTGGTTGTTTTTAAAAAAATATGCCTATAGCTTTTATTAAATGTTTCTTTAGTACTTGTACAGGTCGGCATGAAATCAAAATGGACCCTATTTACTTTTACGAAACGCCCACTTTTCTATATCCAATCAATTTCCAGTGGGAAAAACAAGCCCACGCCCTCTATTTTTCACGTTCAATATCTCGTTTTGACATAAAGTGGGTCACAACTCTTCAGTTCATGCAGACTTTAAACTAATTGAAAATTAAAAATGTTGCCTCAGCAACTAGCTAAAATAATCGTATTTCACGTTACCAACACATGGTTTTTGTTTTGGATGGCAATAATAGCCCCTGGCTGTACATTTTGATTTCATGTTGGCTTTAAATGACCACTTCTGAATCTGATGTGATCTCCATGCACTCACCTCATTTTCCCGCTCCAGAACTCCGTGTAAAATCAACCCTGCGGTGAACTCTGTGCTGTCGGCGAGGAAGCCCTGCAGACTGGAGCAGACGCCGCTGAAGATGCTGCAGGAACGCCAGCAGCTCATGCAGACTCAGGAGGACGGGAAGAGCCGAGAGCAGAGCATGTACTGCAGAGATCTGGTCTACAGCGGAGCCACAGAGTTCTGCTTCGAGGAGCTGCGGGCCGAGCGATACCGGCAGAAACGCGCTCACGAACTACAGACCAGCAGCCCTGTGGATCCCAGCACACACACTGAAATACAGAACTGTTAGAAATCAAACTGAAACCTATAGGTTGTGTTTGAATATGCAGCAAGCTTTCTATCTAGACAGCAGAAACTCGCCGATGACACCTAAAAATGCTGCTCACAACAAATATTTGTGTATAATTGTTCCTGTGGTTTTTTTTTGTACATACTTTTTATTTGTAAATACAGGTTTTGTAAGTTAACGCAACAGTATTTTTTTTTTTTTTTTTTTTTTTGCAAGTACAGTTCGGTATCAAGTCCGTACTGAAATGTAAAACGTGTGCTGATGCCAGCATTTCCCTCTTGCATTTTGAGCGCTGTTGACCGGATTCTTAAACATCTCTGATTGATTGGCTGTTGTGTTCACGAGCTTGACATATGCGTCTCTGATTGGCTACAATGACGTTTTTGATGCTCTTTACCGAGCGCTTACACAGCGGATCCCTAATATAGGCTGTAAGCACTTGAAGAGTGTCAAAGCGTTGATCATTGTAGCCAATCAGAGACATGTTGAGTGCGTAAACACAATGGCCAATCAGAAGGGTTTAAGAATCTGTTCAAGAGCGCCCAATCTTAGAGGGAAATGCAGGTTTTGTCACATTTTTAAAATTTCAGAAAACTCATTTATTATATTGTCATTGCTTGTAGATGTGCTGCATGATGCTTCAATAAATGCAACTGATTCAGTAACATCAAATTGCTCTTGTACTTTGACTTCAGGAACTGCATTTGAAGAGTTCAGATGCAAAAGCCTCTAAATGCCATTTGAAATTTTCTTTTTTAATGATGATTTTTTTTTATCAAACTTGTATATTTAAGTTCAGTAATTTCACTTAAATAACAATTAATAGGTAATTATCATTGCCATTTAAGTGAAATTACTGAACTTAAATATACAAGTTTGATAAAAAATGATCATTCTAGAAGAAAATTTCAAATGGCATTTAGAGGCTTTTGCATCTGAACTCTTCATTTGTACTTTATTCATAGTGCTGTCGCACAGCACAAGCTGCAGAGTTTCCTAGGGAGAAGATAAAGGGATTATGTTTGCACAGAGTTGAATGTAATTTGTAATTGCAGTGCTTCAGTGCATATCCAGACAATGCCAAGAGAAACGCAATAGTGAATCTCTAAATGCTTCAGGGTGAGTTTACACTGTAGTATTAAGATTATCTGACCTGTTTTGAACAAACCTCTAAACATGTGATTCATTGCTGCATCAGCAGGTGGCGCTGATGGGTGATGTGGGTCAACACAAATGAGCCTATAAAAAGCTGCTGATGTTCGAGCGTCCTAGTGAGAACTTTCAAGCGCTCTTATTTCTCTCGTAACACACAATCTGTGGGAACATACTGAGGAAGAATGGCATGCTTTGGTATGATGTAACTATGCCATGACCTAGTTTCCTTAATGTTGTTATAAAAAGATTGCTTTAATACAAATAATCTGGTACACTATGCAACTTAAAAACAAATCTTCACAATATTTCTTGCTTTACAGTGAACTCAGTTACTCCGAGAGCTACAGGTTATCTGTTCAATTAAACACTATAATCTCCTGTTGAGTGATAAAAATGTCGCTTTTATAAAGAATCAAATTCCCTGAGTTCTCAATCTCTGAAAAGCCAAATTAATGTTGATTCTTGTTTTATTACGAGCTCTGTCGCGTTCTCCTTTCGCCAGTAGAAAACGTGCCTTGGATCTGAAGCCTTCGTTGTTTCAGTGAACGGATTCATCAGCTATTAAAGGCAAGGTAGGCAATTTGCGGCGAGGCTAGCATTAGCGGGCTAGCTTTGAAACCCTCCCTTCAGAGCGTCTCCAAAGCCACGTCTCCTTCATAACATGTGTGCACAAGACAAAAGCGTCACGAGAGACGGCGTTAAAACTGTCTCAAAGCACATAATACAATAATAACCAAATGAGTAAAATTTGTAATGACAAACAGATGTTGGATTGACAAAGCCATATGAAAGTTTTGTAAGAATTACCATGATGTTAATATGTTCTAACATGAATTAACATGTCGCTAGCCTGTTTTAGTACGTTGCTAGCGAATTAGCATGTTTTAGCATTGTTTTTAGCATGTTTAAGCATGATTTTACCTGTAACAACCTGTTAACATACAATTATTGCTAACATGAATTAGCATGTTGCAAGCTTGTTTTAGTACATTGTTCGCATGTTTTCAACATGTTTAAGCATGATTTGACCTGTTTGTAATCTGATTTAACATCTTGTTAACAACCAATTAGTACATTGCTAACATGAATTAGCATGTTGCTATCTTGTTTTAGTAAGTTGTTAGCATGCATTAGCATTGTTTTCGACATGTTCAAGCATGATTTTACCTGTTACTAACCTGAATTAACATCTGTTAACATGCAATTAGTACATTGCTAACATGAATTAGCATGTTGTTAACATGATGTTATCCTAGGATAGTCATTGGACAGCAAAATAGTGTCGGCCCACATCCAGCCCAGATCTGGTACACATGGATTACACACTATGTTGCTGTCCGGATAAGTCTTGTTGTGCAAAAAGTCTTGACTCCCTCAATGAAATTCTATGGGACTTTTCGTAGTTTTTACTGAAAAGATACAGCACATGAGACCAGTCTGAAGGTCTAACCTTAGTTTGGTGGTTCAAGCTTGAAAACTCAAGGAGATGCTGTTTAAGTCTCAGAAGAATAAGCAGCCTAAAGCAGTAGATCAGTGGAAACACATACACAGACAGGCAGGGTTAGGACATCCTATCATTGCATTCGGACCACATTCAATGATTGGACGAACATTTAATGGTCCACATGAAAACACATTTAGACCCCTTACTTAACTTAGTGACTATCAGCTATCAGGATGTGAAGAGACTTTCAACCAGCATAACAAAAATGTTTCTGGAACAAATCACCTATCCTGCCTTTAATATGCTAAAAACAAAAGACAAAAGCTCATTGGGCGTCATTGTTTAGGAACGGATTTAAATTGCCCTGCATTACAAAAGCTTTAAAAGGACAATAGCAGGACAGCAAATCACACTAGAGATGATTAACTAGACCAGCTCAGTGTGTAGAGAATTTAGCAACAATTTTCCATTTAATGTTATAGAATCTTTTATCTGTGTTATACTAATCGAGAAGTAAATGTCTCTGTGTTTTAGATGAACGCTTTATTGATTATATTGGCGAGTGCAGTCAGTGGTGAAATAGGTTTCATGAGGCGATGATTAAACTACTAAACCTTAAATGATTTTGAATTAAAAAATCATGTTTAATTAAATCGTGGTAAAAAGTTTGCTGATTAAAATCCATTAAATTTTTTTATTTTGAAAACAGTTATTTTGGAATTTTATTAATATTTATTAAATTCAACATGTATTATTAAACTGTTAAACTCTTTAAACAAAGTAACCGAGAAACATTAACACTGGTGTCAATAAATAAATAAAACAGCGTATTTTTTAACGTTTATCCTATATCAATTTATGCTTTTACTTTTTAAAAGTCAAAACATCCAACCAAGTAAAAGTTTGTACCTGACGCTAAAAAATGACTGTATCAGTCATATTAAAATAAAATCACATTTTATACCAGCAATTTCTCTTATTTCAACTATGGAAACAATATTTACCGTAAATATTTGTTGATTTAGCATCTGTCATCTGACTGCTGTTATATTTTTTTTTATTTTTTTTTATTGAGAAAAAAAAATATAACAGGAATGCTTCATGACAGATATCACATTTATTGACAGATATCACATTTATTGAAACATGTTTAAACAAATAAACAGGGATAACAAAAACAAAAGAGAGGAAGAAAAAAAAAAACTAAATAAATATACATAAAAAAAGCTCAATATTTCTTTCTTTTCCTATAGACACTTTTAATGTTCATATAACTTGGTAAACTAAGTAGGGGCATTAATTACAATACGAAGAATTCCTCCATCAAGTTTAACAACATTTCATTCTTTTTATTTTTAACTAATTTAAGTGACTTCCTCAGCGATTCAATCTCCATTAAAAATAGATTACATTTTGGAATGCATTTTGCAAATTTTTGTTTATGGATATAATATTTACCATGCAAAATGAAGAAATTCACCACACAATTTGCTTCTGTGTGTATAAGAACAAATAACATCTTTTAGAGATAATTTATAATTAATTTTTTCTTTCTTTCTTTCTATAATTAATAAATCAGACCACAATTTTTGAGATAAATCACATTCATAAAACAAATGAGCCAAGTCTTCTTCGTATACATTACAAAAAGAACATTTTGTTGTCAATGTCCATGAATTTGGATAACAAAGCTTTACATGGGTAGATTTTATGAAGTATTTTGAACTTTATTCAGCATACAAAATTTATATGGATTTAACCACGCCTCTTTCCAATGAATTTGACTGCTGTTATATCGCAGCGTCACCGGCCTGTCATGACCCTCATTATCTCATGAATTATTCATGAGCTGACCGGTTTATCCGCACACGACACACACACACACACACACACAACCTGCCGTCTCAAATCACCCGCTCACGTGGAAACGCTTCACCAGGGCGACAGAGGGGGCGTGAACTGTCGCCTAGGTGATGCTGCCGCACACACACACACACACACACAGGAGGAGGGAGAGAGAGCGAGAGAGCTAGAGGAGGCAGGCCAGGCTGTTTTCTCATCCTCTAGATGTGGATTATACCGTGTTCTCGCCATGGCAGCATCACGGCACCGGTAGCAGGGGCTTCTGGGAGATCAGATGCGCGGGTCTGAGCATCATCTCTCTGAGATGGCCGTGCACGCGTGCAGCTGGAGGCAGGGATGCATCGGGCTTTCTCAGGCGAACGGGAGCCTGCAGTGGGAGGCTGACTGAGTTCACACACACACACACACACTGAGCCGCTTCCCAGCTGGAGAGGCTGTTACATTCATCAACACACAACGGCAAGGTAAGAAAACACGCGTTTTGACATCCATATGCACGCTGTGTTCATGCACTGTGATGATGATGATGATGCTTGTGCTGCATCGCTGGATAAACACACACAGACACACAGACAGAGAGCGGGTGATGGGAGAAGCCTAGACGACAATGAAAAGGCTGAAGATAAGAAGGTGAAGCTCTGAAGGACTGCGTTGATGTGGAAATGCTTTTACATTCCCTCATCCTCTCTCTCTCTCTCTCTCGTGCGCGCGCACATTTGCATTGATGAGAGACCTCAAGGTAAACCTTTCAAAGATGGCTGTTTCTGAGCAGTTGACCCATTATAATGATGTTTTGAGGGGTTGATATATTCAAGTTGGACGTTAGGGCATTCGAGGCACCTTCAAAAGCACGCCTAGATGTTCTTCTAAGGGCAATTTGAGGAAGTCCGAGTATGTTGTCATTATTTTTACATCGAATAGCTTGATTCAAACTCCTCAAATGGGCCAATAATGACATTTCTTTATGATCTTACTCTACATGGGAAACAGAATGATAGTCATGATCATTTATATCATCCCACAACTCTCTCTATATATAGTTGGACGTATATTATATCCAACTTTATCCACATACATAGAGTACACACTCGATTAATATATGAAGAGTTCAGATGCAAAAGCCTCTAAATGCCATTTGAAATTTTCTTCTTTAATGATGATTTTTATCAAGCTTGTATATTTAAGATCAGTGATTTCACTTAAAT